ACCATTTGCTAATCCAATCAACCGATGGCACCGAACCCCACGTCCACCACACATGCCATCCACAGACCCGGACATCACATATTTGAAGACATTTTATTAACATGAATGTGAAAAATGGCATAAAATTTCCATCACTTTTATTTGATATTTGTGTTGATGGAGACGATTGGATGCAAATTGTTATGAAAACTGAAAATTGTTTTATTTTTTTGGACATTTTTTGGCGTTTGAATGAATTGATTAGAAAATATACAACAAATATTATACATGAAGTCAATTGAATATTTGTACAAAAAATGTTTTGGTTTTTCAATTGTTTGTGGACTACGAATATATGACTGCAATTAATATTTGTATTAATGATGTCTGGGAAGAGATTTGTGTCTGAATTGAGAGAAATGTTTTAATGATATATGAAATGAAGAGCTAATGTCAAGAATATTCACAATTATAATGTCATTCCAGCGGACACTCCACACAATCAGTTGAGATGTTTTTGTTGTTAACATTTTAGGCAAAACTTTGTTTTGTATAATAAGAGCTCATATTTTCATAAAGGATTCCAATCATCGAAAACATAATATATGAGAAGATTTGTAATCTAAATGTAATTTCATTTGAAAAACTTATTAAAACTTTTCATCAAATAAGACATCTCTTCGCGGACGGCATAACAGATAGAGAAGTGTTTTGTCACCACAAATGCCATCGCATCGGCTGTTAGTCTGAATGACTCGTATAAGTAATTAATTGATTGATTGATAACAAAGAATTGGATCAGAATTTAATAATAGAGTCACAGATCTCTTAACTCCCATAATATCCATCACCCGATACTTCAAACACAACCAATGATTACCTTTATTTTCTCCCGAAAATACTTTATCTCATTTTGTGTCCGTATATATGATTTGAAACTATTTATTATTAATAAATTCCTGTCATTAATAGTCACACTTCACTTCAAAACATATATTTCTATATTTTATTTTAAAAACAGAAAATTCATATAAAATCATGTATTTCTCAATTGGGTTTTCGTTAGTCATATATTTTTCGCATAAAATACATTATATTTTGTTATTTATTAATGAAATTCAGACAAAAATCAATTGTTTTTGTCAATACTTTTTAGGCTCTAATGAACTCAATTCCCATAGAAATTCAATGCCAATAGAAAACTAATATCTGATTAGACAATGGATTGTGAAGGCTATCCATTGTATACAATATTATTTGACATTTAACTATATTTATTGCCAAAACTTTTCATATGAAACTCCAATCGATAGACTAGTATTGGATTTGTGTTTCTAAACATATAATATAATTATTTCATTTCGAAATTTAAGAATTTTCAGGTTTTATTAAAATTATTTGAGAGTTTTGTGCTATAATTATGTGATTTACAAATAATATTCACTCAACAAATAACAGACATTAGTTTTCTCTGAATGCCATTCAAATAAAATAATACTTTAATTACAATTATAAACCCAATTCTCTATCTAATTGTAAACATAGTTAGCGTTTCAATAACACAACAAACAAATAGTTATTTTTGTGTCAAATTTTCCTCAATTTGTTGCTTTTGTTGGACACAAGACATAAGAATTCATCCAAAACTTCAGCTCATATTCACGGATCAAATACTTTGTGGGAAAACACTCCTCAAGTCATTAATACAAGAATATTAATATTACTTACAGTATAAACATGAAAAAATTAATAAATTTTTGGACAAAATTGACAAAAAATAGGATAAATGAATTGAAAAAGCTCTGAAATTTAACAACAAATGTATTATAAAAACAAATCATCTCTCACTATATAAAACAGATATTATTCTGAAAATATATATTTAATTATGAAAATTCATTCAAATCTATTGATTATAATTATTATTAATTATTGCTTATTATAATTATATTAGTAAATGAATAATTGAGAGAAAAAAACTGATAAATAAATTGTTAATTGTTTTAAATGTAAATATGTTTAGAGAGAAATTAAAAATAAAGATATTGTCGTCAAATCGAAACGAGTATTCAATTTATAAATTATAATACATTTTATTTTGTCAACTCTTTTCATTGAAATTCAAAAAATACTTTTCATTTACAATTAATACTGTAATTCAATATTTAGCGTATAATTAAGTATAAGTAAAATGAAAACAATTGGTTTAATATATGATAAATATATTTCAAACAAATCTTATCATCAATTGAATGGTAACTATATTAAAGACCTCTGTATTGGAGTTGTCATTGTTATAGTGGTTGTGATGACATTCATGTCAATTCAAGTCTGGTATCTCAATGGACTCCAACTCATTGATTGTCGTCAAGACGTGCTATTGGTTTGAGACAACGGACACATTGTTAACACAAATTGCATTCAAAATAATGGATCAAAACTCGTGGCAAACCTTCTGAAGTGAGCGCCGATTGGACTCGTATTGGTGTAGCGCTTGTGTCACCTCTTCGGTCACATCCGCCAACTGTTTGTGTTTATTGTCCAACACTTCGGTGACCATCGCCTCAAACTTCACGAGCCGTTCCACGCATTCCTGTTTCACCGGTTGTATAGCCCTCTGGAGGTCCGGGAACTCCACATCCACTCTATTGTCTGATATGTACTTCACTTTCTGGACCACCAATTGGTCGTCAAAGAGTTGCTTCAACTCTAAGTCCAAACGCTTTTCGATGTATTGCTCGCATTGTCTCAAGTGATTGGCTCTCATGTCCGCAAACTTCTTCCGCTTGTCCTCGTCTTCGGCCAAACTATGGGTCACTTCTTTGAATCGTTTGTCGAAGTGATGCGAATAAATGGCCACAAAGTAGTCGATGGCTCCGATCCGGTACTCAGACAAGTCGGACATGAGTTGCGGATCAACTGAAGTGATGTCCAATGGGTTGGTCTCCGTCTCTGAACTCATTATCAGATTTTAAATCACAATTCAATTCAATACTGATTTTCAATGCAATCGTCGATTTAAGCGCCAAATACATTGTCATAATAGACGCACCGTTTGGTACTTATTTAGTGTAGGAATTCAAGTATTTCACAGTATTTAGTGCATATCGAAAGGGCCTAAATTAAGATTCATTTTAAAACTTTGTGATAAACATATATTACGGCTAATTATTAAATAATCGTTTCTAAAATTAATTGTATTCATTACTATTAAATACTGAAAACTACTATTAAATGGATAAATATTGAAAACTTAAACTTTAAATAATTGTATTTATGTTTTGACTTAAAGTTAGTGCAATTTTTATGAAATTTGATGATTAAATGTACTTGATCTTGCTAACCTATTAAAAATATGTTTATGTAAAGGGCGCTCATTTTAATTGAATTGACGCCAATGTGTGCGTTATTCGTTGCATAACCGCATATGCGGTCACATCACGTGGGGTGGGGTTTGCGCTGAAGTAACCGTTTTTTGGTACGAAAAACCAATTTTCAAATCACAGTATATTTTAATGAAGGTTTTAATTGGTTTTCAATGAGTTTTATATTTAGTTTATTGTCATTTTAATGAAATTCTAATTCAGTTTATTTATTGTCATTAACCACTCGTTTATCAACATTTCACAAACCATTGCAACGGATATCTCAGGTATTTGTAAACAAAATGTTGAGTTTATGCCTAAAATGCCCCAAATATGGGGTAAATGCGCGGCATTTAAGTCGTATATAACCCCAAAATACATGCCTTTCTATGGTTTGGGGTTTCATTGGTTTCTCACAAATGGTGTGATTTGTGTCCAAAATATGGTGTTTTTCATCCATTTTTGGGGTTTTATTGCTATAAACAGTTGTTTTCGTTATAAAAAAAAAGCATTCATTCATTCAATGCTTGCGTTTACGAGTCGTTTGTGTTTTCATTAATTGTTTGCACTTTTAATCTGTAATTTAATATCAAATTTATAACTTGTAATCAAAATACACGCATAAAGTTTGTCCCATTAGACTACCGGCGCTCAAATGGGTCGCAAAGGTATGTTTTGACCACTATTTTGGCGACTATTCACTCATTTTGTCATCTATTTTGTGACCATTTTGTTGTTGACTTGATTTGCAGACAAAAGCCATAAATTGAAGTCAAAATTGAATTCAAGTCATAACAGTAACAGTAATTACAGTCGAAATAACGATGAGTTTAACGATAATAACGCCGAAGACAACGGAGACGCTGGAGGTGAGGAGCGCCTGTCGTTTGGCCATTCATTTAGATTTTGAATTCAAGTCATAACAGTAACAGTAATTACAGTCGAAATAACGATGAGTTTAACGATAATAACGCCGAAGACAACGGAGACGCTGGAGGTGAGGAGCGCCTGTCGTTTGGCCATTCATTTAGATGTCATTCCCACTGAATGTCTAATTTGTATGTAATGTCGGACTCATAGCCATAATCCCGGAGTCGGCCAGTCGTACGATAGCGGAAGGGGTTCGCGAGGATGAGTTCGGCGCCAAAGACTACACCAATGATGTGAGTCTTCGCGACGACTTCATGTCCCGTCCCCTTTGGGTGGCACCGGACGGACACATATTTCTGGAGACCTTCTCTCCGGTCTACAAACACGCGCACGACTTCCTCATAGCCATCGCTGAGGTATGCCATGCGATGAGTGAGTGGTGTGTTTGTGATGATTGTCTGATTGGTGTGTCTATAGCCGGTCTCCCGTCCCGAACACATCCACGAGTATAAACTGACGGCATATTCACTGTACGCCGCCGTCTCTGTCGGCCTTCAGACCAAAGACATCATTGAATACT